TCCTCTTCCCAGGAGCAACAGTCCCCAGCCTGTTGTCCCTGGATTCCAGGGGGTCCTTGGGACCCTTTCAGGGGGTCCACAGGCAAGGCTATTTTTGTAATAACACGATGTTACTGCCTTTTCCACTGTGTTGAAATTTGCACTGATGGTGCAAAAGCAATGGTGGGGAAGATTGTCCAGTAGAAGAAAAAAGGGAGGGTGACTTAAGAATGTCCTAAATGAGGTAAAACTTTTAACTTTTATTCAGTCTAGATTTTTGAGATTTTCCATATTCTATGTGACATAACGGTTTGTGCACACGAAGCCCCTCTGTTGCATACAGAAAGCGTGCTTGTGGTTGAGGGAAAGCACTTCATTCACATGTGAGCTGAACGGGCCACTGTTCTCTTGGAGTACCGTTTCCGCTCTAAAGAAGGACTGCTAGACATACCATGGTAATTCAGACTTCAGTGTTTGGCTGATATTTCCTTGAAAATGAACACAATGAACCTGTCGTTTAAAGAAGAACAACTGAAATTAGGGAAAACATTTTATTTGGACAGTTTCTATAAACAAGGGACAATAATTCTTGTACCTTATTTTTCATCTTTGCTGTTTCTTTGAGCAGGCTAATGTGTCATGCAATTATCTAAGGTATCTGTAAGTATTCTTGTTACCTGAGTAGTTGTATTATATTTAAAAATGTAAGATGATTTTTAAAAGCCTGAGGACTGACCTAAGATGCGATTGTGTGAACTCTGTCTACTCTGGAGGGTGGGAAGGATGTCAGCGGAAGTTTGAAGACTTTTTTTTTTGTGCCATCAGATACAGGTAAAAATAATTGGGCAATTCTGCTGTTTAAACAGGAACTATTGGCCTCCTTGGCCCTAAATAGAAGGGCTGATAGGTTTTTTTTTTTTTTTTTTTTGAGATGGAGTCTCGCTCTGTCGCCCAGGCTGGAGGGCAGTGGTGCGATCTCAGCTCACTGTAAGCTCCACCTCCTGGGTTCACATCATTCTCCTGCCTCAGCCTCCCGAGTAGCTGGGACTACAGGCATCTGCCATCAGGCCCAGCTAATTTTATTTTGTATTTTTTAGTAGAGATGGGGTTTCACCATGTTAGCCATGTTAGCCAGGATGGTCTCAATCTGACCTCATGATCCGCCCACCTCAGCCTCCCAAAGTGCTGGGATTACAGGCATGAGCCACTGTGCCCGGCTGGGCTGATATTTTAAGTTGATTATTTTATTGCAAATTAATCCAACCTAATTCTTTTAAATTTGGTTGTATGTTTTTCTTGTTAAATGATGTTTAAAAAATAAAAAACGGCCGGGCGTGGTGGCTCAAGCCACTGCACTCCAGCCTGGGCGACAGAGAGAGACTCCATCTCAAAAAAAATAAAATAAAATAAAATAAAAAATGGAAGTTCTTGGCTTAGTCATTAAAAGAGAGGAGAACAACTGACAATATTTGTTGCCAATGATAAAATTAAGGCTTTCAAGAGAAAACTGGGAACTTGTAAGACATGTATCTGCCTCTGTGAGCCTGACAGCTTCCCAATACTTACAGACTTGAAAATGAGACCAAGAGTGATAATTATGTGATTTCTAAAATGTTGTATAATGAAATGTGCCAGCATTTGGAAGATCTGCCTAACACGGTGAACCCGTATTTTCCCGCATGACCAATGTATGATGTCACAAAATTGTACATCAAGATTCAAGACAGACCAATGGCTTTCAACATCAGAGTACAGAAAGTTCACTGATATCTTTTCAGATTTCACATTGTAGTTAATCTTCAAAAACTATCACTTGCTGAGTTTTAGTGTGGTATCAAAGACGCATATTCACAATTATCTGAAAAGGTTGTAAAATACTCCTCCCTTTTCCAGCTACCTATTGGTGTGAGGTTGGATTTTCTTCAACCAAAAAACTATGTCAACAGACAGAATGCAGAAGCAGAGAAAAGAATCCAGCTGTCTTCTATTAAGTCAGACAGTAAAGAGATTTGTAAAAAATACTATAAAACAATGCCACTCTTCTCAGTAATTTCCTATTGTGGAAAAAGAATTATTTTTCATGAAATATGTTATTTATGTTACCATGTAATGGGTTTTTATTGTTTTGGTTTTAGAGAGATGGGTTCCTGCTATCTATGTTGCCCAGGCTGGACTTGAACTCTTGGGCTCAAGCAATCCTCCTACCTGGGCCTCCGGAGTAGCTGGGACTACAGGCATGGGCCACTACTTGGCCATTATTGTTATTTTATTTATTTATTTATTTATTTTTATTTTGTTTTTGAGATGGAGTCTCGCTCTGTTGCCCAGGCTGGAGTGCAGTGGCGCGCTCTCGGCTCACTGCAAGCTCCACCTCCTGGGTTGATGCCACTCTCCTGCCTCAGCCTCCCAAGTAGCTGGGACTACAGGCGCCCGCCACCATGCCAGGCTAATTTTTTGTATTTTTTAGTAGAGACGGGGTTTCACCGTTTTAGCCAGGATGGTCTCGATCTCCTGACCTCGTGATCCGCCCGCCTCGGCCTCCCAAAGTGCTGGGATTACAGGCGTGAGCCACCGCACCCGGCAATTATTGTTATTTTTGAATAAATATTTTAAAAAATTAATCTTAGGGCCAGGTTCAGTGGCTCACACCTGTAACCCCAGCACTTTGGGAAGCCCAGGTGGGTGGGTCACTTGAGGTCAGGAGTTTGAGACCAGCCTGGTCAACATGGCGAAACCCTGTCTCTAATAAAAATACAAAAATTAGCCATGTGTGTTGACACACACCTGTAGTCCCAGCTACTCAGGGGAGCTGAGGTAGGAGAATCGCTTGAACCCGGGAGGTGGAGGTTGCAGTGAGCCGAGATCGCACCACTGCACTCCAGCCTGGGTGACAAGAGTGAGTGAGACTCCGTCTCAAAAAGAAAAGTTAGGCCGGGCGCGGTGGCTCAAGCCTGTAATCCCAGCACTTTGGGAGGCCGAGACGGGCGGATCACGAGGTCAGGAGATCGAGACCATCCTGGCTAACACGGTGAAACCCCGTCTCTACTAAAAAATACAAAAAACTAGCCGGGCGAGGTGGCGGGCGCCTGTAGTCCCAGCTACTCGGGAGGCTGAGGCAGGAGAATGGCGTAAACCCGGGAGGCGGAGCTTGCAGTGAGCCGAGATCGCGCCACTGCACTCCAGCCTGGGTGACAGAGCCAGACTCTGTCTCAAAAAAAAAAAAAAAAAAAAAAAAAAAAAAAAAAGTTAATATTAATTGCTAAAATAAATATTGATAAATATAATCTATATAACCAAAAGTTAATTGGGGTCCTTAACAATTTTTAAGAGTATAAAGGGATCCTGAGCCTTTTGAGAACGGACACCCTAGAGAAAGTGTGCACTTGTGTGTACCAGGACCGGGTATAAGAATGTCCACTGTGGGAATATTTACAACAGCAAAACGCTGGACACACACATGTTCATCTACAGTAGGCGGGATAAACAAATGTCGTGTCATCTTGATGTATTTCACAATAAAACAGTAATATTTGGAAATGGCCCCAAACTAAACAATCTTGTAAGAATCTTGGCCATGCACAGCAGCTCATGCCTGTAATCCCAGCACTTTGGGAGGCCGAGGCAGGCGGATCACGAGGTCAGGAGATCAAGACCATCCTGGCTAACACGGTGAAACCCCGTCTCTACTAAAAATACAAAAAATTAGCTGGGCATGGTGGCGAGTGCCTGTAGTCCCAGCTATTGGGGAGGCTGAGGCAGGAGAATGGCATGAACCCGGGAGGCAGAGGTGGCAGCGAGCCGAGATCACACCACTGCACTCCAGCGTCGGGGACAGGGCGAGACTCCGTCTCAAAAAAAAAAAAAACAAAAACATTCTCCCTGCCTCCCAGCACCACAACTGTTCAGAATTCCCAGAGCAGTCAGCATTCCTAGAGAGTGCTTACGGACATAGGCAACATACATGGTTTTGTGTTACCCTCTTTCTTTGTTACCCAAATGGTCACGCACTCTTGCCCCCGTTCTTGCCTCTACCCTTTTCTCTCAGTGCCTGGAGGGACAGGTCTTAGAGATTGTTCTGTCCACCTTATTCCCTTTCGTAGCTGCACAGCATTCTAGTTATAGGTGTTTCATAATTTGTAATCCAGTCCCCATGGGTGATAAGGCAATCTGCCCCCAGTGTTTGGCCATAACGGACATTGTCTATCCCAAATACCTTCGTCCGTGCATGTCCGTGAACATGGGTGTGTATCTGTGGGATAAATTCGTAGGTATGGAAAGTTGAGGTCAAGAAAGTCCGTTTAAAGCGTTGATGCTAGTGCCAATCTCCCCTCCAAAGTGGCTGCGCCAGCTTCACCCCAGCCATGTGGAGAGTGCCTTCCACAAGGTGTCTAACCTACTAGGTGGCCTTTGCTTATCTGAGAAGTGAAAGTGCAATCTCCTAGTTTGTACTTTTATTAGGTGTGAGGGCAGAAGGCACAATGTTTGCAATTCGGGCTTGGATTTAGCCCGTTGGAGGCACCGGCACCCCGCTGGTTGGGCTCCCAGAAGGGCGGGATGGAAATCCCGGTGCGTGGGCTGTGTCCCGAGCACCGGGTCCCAGGGGTTCCCTTACCCTGCCCGGGCAGCGCGCAGCAACCCGCGCTTTCTCGCGCGGCCGCTGGAGGGCACCGGCGCCCACCGAAACGCACCGGGCAGGCGCTGGGGTCCCGGAGCGCGCCAGGGGGCTCCACCCTCCTCCCGGCCCCGGGTCCTGGCCCACCCGGGCAGCGCGGCCCACGGCCCGTTCCTCGCCCACTGCTCCGCCCTCGCCGGGTGGGCGACCCCCACGTCCTGTACATTCAGGCCCCAGGCTTTCCGGGGACTCGGCCGTGGTGGTCGGCCCCCGAGCCGGGGGGGGCGTGGCGGGGCGGGCAGGGCCCCTCCGAGCCCACCGGTCCCTCTCCGGGCCGCTCCAGCACTCCCCCGAGAGCGGCTAGTCACGGTGCGGGTCACTTTGGGGACAGCCCGTCAGCGCCTCCTACCTTTGTGCTGGCCAGAGGGTCCTTGTTCACAAAGGCCTGGACAAACTCTTCCGGCCCGATGTGCCGCAGCCGCTCCTGCAGGGAAGGGGCAGAGTGGGTACAAGAGGGAAGGTATGGGGAGGCGGCCGACTGGGGGCCCTGCCGTGGTGCCCCAGCCCCTAGTCCTCCACACTGGGGCTAGAGACCCTGTTTCAGGTTGTCACGGAGCTCCGCGCCTTCCCTGGAGGAGGCAGCCCCTCCTTGCCCGGTTCATGGGGGTAGGGAGCAATGCTACGGGGCGTGAGCCCAGGGAAACCAGGCTCCACACGAGGTAACTGAAGTGCTGCTTCCTCTGCGGGGCGGGGCGCGCGGGGCGGGGGCGAGTGCTGGTGGCCAGGAGCGTGGCATCTGGGCCAGAATCAAACCCTGGCTCTGTCCCTTCTGCTGTGTGACGTTGGCAAGTCGCTTCACCTCTCTGGGCCTTAGTTTCCTCTGTGTACAGGGCCTGCCTGGCCAGGTGATGGAGACATGAGCGAGCGCATGGGAGTGCGCTGGAAAAGTGCCTGGGGAGCAGGGAGGGCTCCATCAACCCTCAGTCTCAAAGGGAAGCACCCGCCCCAGCCTCCCTCTCCCTGGGATGGGCCCTTGGCCTCTGCATCGAGTGCGTGCTCCAGGCTAGGCCAGGGCCCTCCTTCACAAGCTTGTGGGGCTGCTCCGGGAAGCCAGGAGGGCCCAGTGTATCTGTGCGGGTCCTGCTGAATCCGGGGTGAGGAAGGTGGCTTGGGCCCGCTCACCAGTTCCACGTGGGTCAGCTGCTGGGCCAGTGTGTAGGGGTCGCTGCAGACACCAAGGAGCTCCCTGTGGATGGAGGCTGGCGGCTTGGTCTTGTAGGAGATGGGCTTGTCGGCACTCACCAGACCTTCCGGCCCCTGGCGCAGAGCCGCCAGCTTCTGGTGAAGAGCCTGTAGGAGCTGATGCATCCTCTTCCGGTATGCCTGGTGGGTGGAAAGAGGGGCACTCAGGCCTGAACACCCATCTCTACGTCTCTAACACTGGAGCCAGGCAGCCTCCTGGGCTCCAAAGGGACGGTCTTTTCCTCGGGGTCTCTGGAGAAAAGGCCAGGTACCAGCACAGGGGCCAGGACCTGCCCCTACCCTGAAACAGGACCCAATCCTGGCCAGGTTGGGGCCACCTGGCAAGGGAGCTGGGGTGAAGGTTGCAGGGCTTCCCATCTGTGGGTGGGAGCCAAGAGGAGCACATGTCAGGGAGGGTGACGGGGGCTGGGGGCAGCTGTCTGGGGCGGTGGGGCAGAGTGGGGTGGGCACAGCCAGGAAGCTAGAGAAAGGGAGAGAGGAGGGAGACGTGGCATGGGCCCTGCCCTGGGCAGACTACTGGCATTTGGCTTGGCTTTAATGGGGCCTCTGTTATCTCCCAGGTCCAGCTCGGCCTTCCCCGACCAGCTGTGCTGTCCTGGCCTCTGCTCCCAGCAGTATTCGTCCAGGTCACCCTGTGCGACTTCTTTTATAGGACCACTGTCAAGACAGTTCGGTTCATTTCCTCCCACACTAGAATAATAGCTCCACAGGGCTGCAAGGTCTGTGCTGCCGCCTCTGTGATGTGAGATACCAGCCCTGCTCTGGGCACACAGTGCGTGCAAGGTAGTGCTCACCCCCACCGGCCAGCCCAGACGCATGGGCTCTTGCTTTGGGCCACATCATGGGCTGGGTACAGGGATGAAAGGCCATGGCCACCCCTCAAGGGGCACCTCCTCTCCCACCATCAAGGAAAACCGAATTATTTTCCCTCAGAAACCCCTATTTCTGAGGAAGTGCCATCAGACTGGCTGGGTTTGCTAAGGGAGACGTCCTCATGTCCTCAAGGGTTTTGGTCTAACTCACAGAGTAAGATGAAATCCCCTATAGCCACGAGCTGGCCCGGGCACTGGCAGAGGCAGTGGTGGGAGTGGGAGCCTGGTCCCCAGCGATGGCGAGCATTGACTGGACAGGCTGCGTGCTCCCAGAGGCCTCGGGAAATAACGAGGGGTGGGCAGTTGGTATCAATAACGAGGGGTGATGGGAAATAAGGAGGGGCGGGCGGTCGGTATCAGTAACGAGGGGTGGGCGGTCGGTATCAGTAACGACGGGCGGGCGGTCGGTATCAGTAACGAGGAGTGGGCGGTCGGTATCAGTAACGAGGGGCGGGCGGTCGGTATCAGTAACGAGGGGCGGGCGGTCGGTATCAGTAACGAGGGGCGGGCGGTCGGTATCAGTAACGAGGGGCGGGCGGTCGGTATCAGTAACGACGGGCGGTCGCGGCGGCGGTCGGTATCAGTAACGAGGGGCGGGCGGTCGGTATCAGTAACGAGGGGCGGGCGGTCGGTATCAGTAACGAGGAGTGGGCGGTCAGTATCAATAACGAGGGGTGGGTGGTTGGTATCATCAGGTCACTTATGAGATTGCAGGGAGTGTTTCTTCACGCAATTTTGAGACACACAGAGCCTGCTGTGAGCGGTGGGCAGGCGTGGTATCTGCATGCTGGCTGTGAGGGTCTGGGGGCTCCAAATGTTCCGGGGAGCCTCAGACAGGGCGCTGGGGTGCTGCTGCTGTCTGAGGACTGCTGGAGCCCTGTGCTCTGGTGGCAGGGTTGGTAGTCATCTGGCACTCCTATGGCAGTGCTTCTCTGTGGAGTGGCCACAGGCCGCTGTGGTAGAGCCTCAGATGGGAGGAATGGGACAGGAGGTGGCTTAACCCTAAGCCTAACTCTCAGAGCACAGGGGCCAGGTGCAGACGGTGCCCACTAGTTAGCTGGGCAGTAAGTGGGGAAGCTGAGGTCCGACTCTTCTATCTGTTGCCCATGGAAGGAATGACCCCTCTCAGGAAGGCTGTGTCCAAAACTGGTCAGCACACTGCCTCCCAGGGCTTCATCTGAGTGCTGGGAAGATGAGGAGTGGGGCACAGCCACTGCCAGTCCTGGGGGGCACGGTCAGTCCCCCGTGGGCCCTGGCCCTTCCACTGACCTCCTGTCTCTCTCCCAGGCACAGCCAGAGTCCCACGAGTGGCTACACCTGCTGTTTCATCGCCGCACCTCCCGCTCACTCCTGGATCACTTCACCTGGCGGCCACTCCCATCAGTCAATTCACTGGGCCCTCCTGTCACCAAAGCCAGTGGCCGTTTCTCAGGCTGCGTCTTCCTTGGCCACCTCCGCCTCAGCCTCCTGGTTGCTCCTGCCTTGGGCTGTTGGCAGGCTTGCCTGTGTTCACCATCGTGGGATGCTGGGGTTTGGGGTTCTTCCTGCTCGGTCTAGGCCTCTCTTCCCTTACTTAGCTCCTGGCTATTCTGGTTCACACCCGCAGTCTCCCTCTGATCTCCAGAGTCATATGGGCGGCAGTCCCTCAGATGGCCCACAGTCCTCTGTTTGCCCAGCGCAGCAGATGTAGGTGGGCTCTCCTTGTCCAAAGCTGGTATTCTCGGTGTTGGTGGACAGCGCGTCAGCCACCACACAGGCTTGGTGCCATCCTCGACCCCGCCCTCTCCCTCATTCCCCTCTAGGCCATCGCCACCCTTCTCTATTTCATTTTCTTCTATTTCTGTGCATCCCAACACTGTCTCCGGAGGCCAGGTCACTGCCATCTCTCTGGCTGCCCTGGCCTCCTTAGTGCCCCCAGTGCATCCATGCCGGTTTCTCTCCACTCTGCAGGCAGAATGGGCTGTTCAAAATGCAAATCTGATCGCTGCCTCCCTCTTCCTGAAAATGCCTCCATGGCTTGTGCAAAGACAGGAGCCCTGGTGTGACTCTGAGGCCCTGAGGTCAGCTCTGGCCAGGCTTGGTGGCGTCTATGAGTCCTTGCTCCCCCTCTGTGCTCTGGACACAGGTCACTCCTCCACCCCTTTGACTCCTTCCCACCCTCCCCATGTCCCCAGCAGGATCTGGACAGCTTTCTCCCTTCTGGCATGTTCTCATCCACTGGACCGAAGCTCAAGTGCCGCTTCCCCAGAGGGGCCACTGGCGTTCAGTGCCGTGAACTCTTCTGCCACACCACTTTAGAGCTGTCGGGGAAATGATTCTGTTCACGTGCACCTCCTCTCCCGGGCCCACAGGCTCCACGCAGCCAACCGCTGGCTGCCCGGTGTTCACGAAGGGCCGTAGCTGGCTCACAGGAGGTGTCCACGAGCGTCTGCCGGATGCGTGGATAAACAGTGTTTGCACCTGCTGACAGTCACTCTCTCCAGCAGGGTGTCAGGGCGGACTGCAGGCCGTGCCAGAATCAAGGCTGCAGGGTATCTGTGCCTACTGCTTGATAGGGCCACGAGATTGCCTTGTTTTTTAAAAACGCAGATACTTTAGCAAGATTTGTTACTGTCGAATGAACCAATATTCATTCCAAATAATCATCCTTTCCTGCTTGCTAATTTATTTCAATTTTTCCAGTGATGTTAGGTTCTAGCTTACGTTTGTTCTTTCCTGACTCTTCTACGCCCCCTCTGAATGTGGGGGTGCTATCTGCCCTGCTCCTTGGCCTCTTCTCATTTTCTGATTTCTACACACTCGTGGACAGGGGCTCGGAGATCTCCCCGGTAGACATGGCAGGGCCAGAGACCTGAACCACAGAGCATGTCAAGGTGTTCCCTTGTCACTACGGAGGGTCCACGTTTATGGAGCACCAGGCTGTGCTGGGGTGGAACAGCACTTTGCCCCTCCTGCCTCGGGATGAAGCCCTCCCTCTGCACCGATCACAGCTGGGAGGCTGCCCGGGAGGCTGGGAGCTGTGGAGCCGCGTTTCCTTCTATTTCCACAAGCCATCTGCTGCATGCATACAGCTGGGTGTGAATGCAGAGTCGTCCAAGGGTTGCCTGGGTGGCGGCCACGGCTCTCCAGGTGCCTCCAAGCTCTCTTGGACTGGGCATTTCACAGCTGGAACCCCTGTCCCTGACCAGATGAGCACTGGCCTCTGTTCTCTGAAATTCTTGGAGACTCCCTCCTGAGCCAGCCTAGGGCCCATGTCCTCCTGCCTATTAAATAACAGGCAGAGGTGGCAGAAAGCTGACGCGGGAGCTCATGAGGCTCCTGGGGGTCTGCTCCCTCCGTGGGTTTATTCTCTGTGTCAGTTTTCTGCCACCTCTGCCACAGAGGGAGCCTCAGAGGGCGGTGGTCAGTTCAGCAGACAGTCCGTTTGGGTGAGTTAGAAAGCAAGACCAGGCCGGGCGCGGGGGCTCCTGCCTGTAATCCCAGCATGCCGGGCGCGGGGGCTCACGCCTGTCATCCCAGGACTTTGGGAGGTCGAGGCAGGCAGATCACAAGGTCAGGAGTTTGAGACAAGCCTGACCAACATAGTGAAACCCCATCTCTACTAAAAATACAAAAATTAGCTGGGCGTGGTGGTGCACGCCTGTAATCCCAGCTACTGAGAAGGCTGAGGCAAGAGAATCGCTTGAACCCGGGAGGTGGAACTTGCAGTGAGCCAAATCACACCACTGCTCTCTACCCTGGGTGACAGAGTGAGACTCCGTCTCAAAAAAATAACCAGCCCAGGAGAGGGGCTGCCTGTTGAGTCGGCCTCCTCTGAGGCTGGCCCAATGGGTATGGCCAGAGCACTGGGGTCCTCCCTGGCTCCCCGAGCCTCCTTCAGCCTCAGCACTGGCCTCCCTGAGCTCTAACTACTCCATTAACCAGGAAACTGGCTCAGAGAGGGAAAGCACCGTGCCTGTGGTTTCCGAGTCTGAATCTGGGTGGGCTCAGGTTGGGTCCCAGGCCCTGCCTCATCAGTCTGGTCCAGGGCTCTTCCATCCCGAACCATTCTGCGCCAGGAAGGGAACAGCCCACAGTCCACAGCAGCGCCCGGTGAGGAGAGGCAGTGCCCAGAGAAGGTCCTCTTCAGAGTGCATGCTTTTGTGTGGAAGGGCAACTCGAGGTCACCAGAGACACTGGGAAGCACCCCTGGCCGGGGCCTGGGTTGGGAATGGGGAACTCCTATTCCAGTCCATGCTACACAGCCTGGTGACAGACCTGTGGGTCCAGGTGGATAGGAGCTACTGGTTTCCTGAGGGGAACTAGGCCAGGGCTTACCCCCAGCCCCACCACCGAGACATGGCTCCAACATCAGGCAGGTCAAATCTGCCTGGTCATATGACAGACCTCACCGCTGACACTTGGGGGTCAAAGGGAACAAAGCAGGAGACTGGGGTCTCACCCCTGCATATCATCGACCCAGTACCCACCATCCCCACACTCACCTCTTCTCCAGCCAGTGCTACCACCCACCTCCCCTTCTATACAGTGACCCACCCCAGATCCATCAATTCACTCCTCTCCCCTTCCTTCCTTCCAACATCTGCCCACTCACTCATTTACTGCCCACTCACACATCCACTCGCCTACCCATCCATCCACCATTCACTTTCACTCATTCATCCCCATCCACCTGTCCCCTTTTCTTCACCCAGCTATCACCCACCTCTCTTTTATAGTGACCACCAACCCCCCAACAGAACCATCAATTCACTCATCTACCCTTGCTCCCTCCTTTCTAACATTCACCCCCTCAACCCCCTACCTTCCCCTCCATCTATTCACCCATCCACCCACCCACCCATCCACCTTCCCCTCCATCTATTCACCCATCCACCCACCCACCCATCCACCTTCCCCTCCATCTATTCAAACATCCACCCACCCACCCATCCAGCTTCCCCTCCATCTATTCAAACATCCACCCACCCACCCATCCACTTTCCCCTCCATCTATTCACCCATCCACCCACCCACCCGTCCACCGTTCCCGTTCCTACATTTCTCCCTTTCTTCTTTCCATTAATCTTTACACATCCACTTACCCCATGCATCCACCTGCCTATCCAATTACCCACTCACCTACTCTCTCCCACATTCATCTATAAAAGTAGCCAAAGGTCTTCCCAGCCGGTCAGCCAGCACCCCATTCCGTTTCCACTGTCCCCATCCCCCACCCAGCCAATCATCAACTGTTCCCTGGCCCTGTTTTCTGCTGCATCCTAAGTCAAATGTCACAATCTCGAGATGGATTAGGGGATGCAGAGGAGGAAGAGGACGGGGTGAGGAGGAGAACAGAGGAGGGAAGAAGTGCCGGGAGGAGGAAGAGGAAACCACTCTCATCTCACTGAGCCTCAGAACTTGCCTGCTCAGTTCTGAGTCACTTGCCTGCTGCGTGAAGTGACCCCAGGCAGTGCCTCCCTCAGAGCCTGAGTTATGTTTGCCGTGGGCGTTTGGCTTCCTGTTGCCCAGCCTGTCTTGGCAGTTTTCCCTTGTCTCACACGCAGCTCTTCTGCCATGTCCAGACCCACTCTGCAGCATGTCACCAACTACCAGCTTGCCATGTTCCATTTCCTTCCAGGACAACCAACATGGGCCCCCAGCCACGTTTCCCCCTCCCAGGCAATGCTACAGCAGTGCTGCCCACAGTGGCATGCCGGGATGCTGATAAACTTGCCCCTTCTAAACACACCAGGAGATGTCTAGCTCCATAACCCTGGAAGGTGAAGATTTTTGTCCTCTTTTCGCCCATTAGGGAAGTGAGGCTTGGATACCCTTCAGTGTGCTCCTCAGGGGAACACAGCTGGGAGAGCAAAGCAGGTGTTGGCCACAGCAGCACCTCATGCCCAGCACACCCAAGGCCTCCCAAGCCACTGGGTTTTCTGAGGGCAAGGGCTGTGTTTACCTGGTGTGGTTTAACTACAGCGGTGAGGTCTTGTCCCCTCCTCTGCCCCTGCCCTGAAGGTTTGCAGCTTACCCCTGGGGGCAGAGAGGATCCCAGGAGAATCTGCTTGGACAGGTGTGGTCATTTTCCCTGCTACTGTTTTTTTTGTTCATCCTGTAGACACTCTTCCCTGGCCCTGATTTGCAGGTCCCTGCCTAGCAGCACTGACCACCAGCCCAGCCCTTCTTGCACGGGAAGTGGGGCAGGGGCAGGAGCGGGGAGGTCTCCATGGCCAAGGCCCAGGACAGGGCTCTGCCAGCCCCCCTAGTAGGTCAGAGGCCAACAGCCTGGCCACCTGGCCCGAAGAGTCCATGAATGGGTCTTCCCTCACCCGCCATCTGATGCCATTGGTGAGAGCAGTCAGGGAGAGGTCACCAGACTCCGCGTTCCCTCCCAGCTCGGCAGTGCCTGATTCCTTGATGGGCCAGAAAGGGGCTGGATTGAGAGGTGTGCAGGGTGGGGAGATGAGGGCCCTGGGGTGCGGGACCTGAACAGGCGCAGGCCTGGGACAGGAGCCCAGGGTGACGCGACCCCCGCCCGGCTGCCCACCTCGTCACAGGGGGCGATGCGGCCCACCACGTCCTTAAGGTGCCCGATAGTCGACTCCTCCTGGAAGTCCCTCGGGAAGGTCTCGGTCCACTCGGCCAACAGCTGCAGCAGTTTGGGGCCGAACTTCCGGACCCGGGCCTGCAGGTAAGCGAGGGGCACCGCGCTCGTGAGGGGCGCCGGGCGGGCACGTGAGCCTCACTGCGCGTCCTTGCGGGTGTGGCCGCCCGGGCAGGCAGGGCCTCGAACCCATTCTGTACCGGGGCGGGGAGGGGGTGGTGCGATCCTGCCCTGCGCCCACAGGGAGCGGAGCAGGGACGGACACATTTCTGGGCGGGGCCATCTCTTGCCGCGGCCTTTCTGCAAAGTCTCCATCCCCCGGGGGAGTCTTCGGGCCGCGGGGAGGGGGCAGTTCTCAGGAGCAGCTGACCCTGCCCCAGGGGTGGGTCCAGGTCTGCGCCGACCAATCAGAGTAGTGCATACTCTGTCATGCGCAGTGATTGGCTCACAGACGGCCACGTGACCTAGGATAGGCCAATGAGGAGGCTCACCGGACCGGTAGCGAAAAGGGATTGAGGCTTCCACGTGACTGGAAAGGGTGGTAGGTGAGCCTGGTGCGGTGGAGGCGGCCGGGCACCGCACCCGCCAGTCTGAGGGAGGCCAGCCCGGGGAAACGGCGGCAGACGGTGGGAGACAGGCCACGGGTGCAATGCTGTAGTTTGAGGCCCGAGCCATTGGTTCCTGAGATAGGGCAGGTACAGGAGCCAGCTAAGTCCTTTTGGTTCAGGGGTCGAAGTTGGGTTTCTCTCACTAGCTGTAGAGCCCTACCGACGTGTGTGTAGTAGAGGCAGCCCGCAGGCTCTGGCCAGGGCTGGGGAGGGGGCGCGGATGTGCTGGCGGAAGGAAGCCCAGCAGAGGCAGCGGGCGACCCCCGCCCCTGGCCACAGATGGGTCCTACTGACCGGACTCCGGATACTCAGGTCTGGGCTTAATGTAAGCTCAAGGGCTCCCGTAGGGCACTGGAAAACTACACGGAGGTTAAAGGGCCTGTTCTGCTCCTTCTGGCTCTGGGCCTCAGACGAGGTGGAAACACCCTGTAGCCACCTGGTCAGGAAAACGGGGACAGTCATTGCCTCCCCGCGAGGCTGATGCCTTGAGGGCATGGCAGGGGAGTGCTGGTACACTGAGACCCCCTGGCCTGCCCTCCACCTCACCTTGTCCAGCACCGGCTTGTCCAGCTGCTGCTGCTCGATGCACAGGTGGCAGACCCGGGCCAGGAGCTCCCGGGGCTCGATGAAGAGGCGAGAGCTCAGCAGGAAGGTGAAGATGTAGGCTTTCTGGGGGACAAACGAGAAAGAGGGCACAGGCTAAGGAGGGCACCGGGAGGAGCATGCTTCCCAGCTGGCCCCGTACCCTGGCCCAAGGCCACTCCCAACCCTGTTGCCTCCCGTGCCTGATGGAGGAGAGCCCACTCTCCTGCCCGCTGGGTTGGTCACCCACCTCGGGGTAGTAGTCGGCTGTGGGCACCAGGTGCTGGATCAGTGTTTCCAGGGAGGCCGAGGATGGAGCTCCATCCAGGAGGGGCTGCCCGGCCTGTTCGCCATCTGTGGGCTCGGTGGTGGGTGGGCTGAGGCTGCCTGGGGTGACCATGTCGGAGGCACTCAGCGTCTGTGGCATGCCTGCCTGCAATGGCAAGGAGCAGTGGGGACCTAAGTGGGGCACACCTGAGTTAGGTGCACCTGAGTGGGGGTGCACCTGAGTTGGGGGGTGCACCTGAGTGGCAGCTGCTGGTCCTGGGGCTCCTGGCTGGGCAGGCTCCCCCCACAGCCACTCCGTGCCAGCCTGAGTCCAGTGGTCACTTCCTAGGAGTGCTGCCAGGGACCCCCTTCCTAACAGCAGAGCCTCCATTCTCCTTCCTCTCACAGCCTCTCAACTCTCCTGCAGGACCCATCTCTTCTCTACTTTGGCGTTCCCACTCAGGGGCAGGCCTCTTCTAGATTCTGCCCCCGCCCCCACGCCTCAACGAAGGTTGTTTTTCACAAGCCTGGATAATCGGCCTAATCCCCCTGCTTCTGGCCACAAAGATTGGTTCAGGGATTGGCCCCATCCAAACTAGGGGGCTCAGCTGCAATCCCAGAACTTTTGTGGCACTTGGAGGCTTGCTTTCCCCCTGGAGTCTTTGAGCTGGTGGAATGTATGCCTGACACTATTGGGGCCACTGTGGCACTATGAGGGGCCAGGAAAGTGGGCACATTCCTGAGCACAGTGTCGGGGACCTTGAATCCCGCTGTGCCTGAAGCCGCTCTGTGGACTTCTCCATCACATGTGCCTGTTTAAGTTGGGGTTCTCTCAGGTATAGTCAAAACTGCTGTCCTCCTTAACCTGGCATTCCAGGCTCTTTGTGATTTGGACTAGCTGACCTGTCCATCCTCACTGCCTATCACACCCCATTGCTCTTGGCCCCAGCCATGTACTCTCTTCCAAGTGCCTTCTCCAACTATGAATCACTGCACACGCCGTTCCCTCCTGCGGGAAGGTTCTCCCACCATCTTCACTCTCCCATCCCTCTAGGTGTGGCTGAAATGCCTCCTCCTCGGTGGAGGCTTCCCTGCTTCCCACCAAGGCTGCACCTGACCTCTGGTGGGCATCAGCAGATTCTCCTCGTCAGCCTTGTTGGGTGCCTGGGGTGCTGCTGTCAGCACCTGGCACAGAGAAAGGCCAGCTGCAGCCGTTACAGTGTCTTCTCTACCCAAACCTCCAGGCAGAGGCCAGAGCACATCCTCTGTGACCCCGCTCTGAGTGACGGGCCTGGCAGCAGCAGGTGTCCATACACACGTGCAGGTAGCCCATGCTTACTCTCAGAAGCACTTCCACTTACCCCTCTAGGCCAGTCTTCCTTGAAAGCCCAGGAGCCCTCACAGTGATGTGTCTTGGCTAAACCTGTCACTGTTTAACCACCCCTTATGTTCTTTTTTTTTTTTGAGAGGGAGTCTCGCTCTGTCGCCCAGGCTGGAGTGCAGTGGCGCCATCTCCGCTCACTGCAAGCTCCGCCTCCCGGGTTCACGCCATTCTGCCTCAGCCTCCTGAGCAGCTGGGACTACAGGCACCTGCCACCACGCCCGGCTAATTTTTTTGTATTTTTAGTAGAGACAGGGTTTCACCGTGTTAGCCAGGATGGTCTCGATCTCCTGACCTCGTGATCCGCCTGCCTTGGTCTCCCAAAGTGCTAAGATTACAGGCGTGAGCTACCACGCCCGGCCGCCCCTACATTCTTGATTGCGGAGTCCTGCCAGCTCACTGCAGGGTCTTCTACTTCTCAGGACTCTGAGACTCCCCTGCTCACACTGTCCTTGCTGCCCCGACCCTGGCCTGTTTCTCCTCTCCAGCACTCTGAGTGACCCTGCCCTGGGAGTAGAGACAGAGGGACGTGGGGGGCCAGAGCTGACACTGGGGGTCAGAGGAGCCCCTCAGAGGGCTGTCCTATGGGCATGTGGGTGTGGGAGGTGCTGGGACTGGGTTACAGCATGGGAAGGGCTCAGGCATTGGTGTGGACAGCAGCCCAGACAATCCTGGCCATGGTGACAGACACAGCTTATTTTCGCCTTCCTGACAATGCTGTAAGTGTTCAATTTTCAGCCAATAAAACTATAAAATTTCACAAAATCACCTCCTGTCTGTCCCAGGGGGAGGCGGCTGTGCAGGTAGGCATGCAGGAAGCTGCATCTGCTCAGTGGGAGGGGGCTAGCTGCAGGATGGGCCAGCTGCAGGGTGCACACTGCTCTGCCTCCTGCCCAGGGCCCGGCAGCTCAGCCTGATTCCACAAGACAGAAAACCTGTGAGCCTGGGAGGTCTGCTGTCTCCTGCTGGACACCTGGCACCTGTTCACCCTGCAGCGTTGGGCTTGCCCCAGATCCCAGCCCAATTTTCTTGACAAGCCAGTGGCAAGGGTGGAGGTGGCTCTGGAAGCCTCTGCAGGACGGTGGGAGGTGCCACGCAGGGGACTTTCTGAAGGAGGCCAGGAGGCTGCCACTTTAAAGAGACAGCCAGGAGGCTCCCAGGGGACCTGGGGCCTGGCCTGGAACCAGGTACTGGGCACATGGGAAGTGGGAGAAGTGTTCAGATCCAGCTCTGCTCTGGAGCCAGGGTTGGTGGTGGTTGCCAAACTATTGTGACCCCCAGGGATGCCCGGAGAGGGTCTGGGCTGCCAGTGGCCCTCTGACCTCCAATCACCCATCGTGTCACCAGCTGGGTCCAGGTTTGGGAATCAATGAATGGGTTTATCCTTGTGCCGCAGGCTTCCATTTTTTCCTGCTGTTGCCAAGGGTCATCCATTCCTTCGTGTATGCATGGAGTGACTCCTGGCTGTGTTCCAGGCAATGGGGACAAAGCCTGAGCTCAGGGAGCTGGCAGGGGAGGCACAGCTATGCAGAGACTGCCCCACTGGAGGCGTGCTGTGAGGGAAACAGGGTGACCACTCTCTATGCTCACTGTGGTGGATGTTCTAGGAGACCCCCTAAGAGAAGGTGAGGTATGGGCAGGGGCGGTGGCTCACGCCTGTAATCCCAGCACTTTGGGAGGCCGAGGCAGGTGGATCATGAGGTCAGGAGATCGAGACCATCCTGGCTAACACGGTGAAACACTATCTCTACTAAAAATACAAAAAATTAGGGCCGGGCGCGGTGGCTCAAGCCTGTAATCCAGCACTTGGGAGGCCGAGACGGGCGATCACGAGGTCAGGAGATCAAGACCATCCGGGCTAACACGGTGAAACACTATCTCTACTAAAAATACAAAAAATTAGCCAGGCGTGGTGGCGGGCACCTGTAGTTCCAGCTACTCGGGAGGCTGAGGCAGGAGAATGGCGAGAACGCGGGAGGCGGAGCTTGCAGTGAGCAGAGATGGTGCCACTCACTCCAGCCTGGGCGACAGAGCGAGACTCCGTCTCAAAAAAAAAAAAAAAAAAAAAAAAGAGAAGGTGAGGTGAGGTCAGCGCTGCTGCCACTACGGGGGGCCCCCACCCCTCCCACCCCTCCCACCTCTCCCACCCCTCCCACCTCTCCCTGCAGGCATGCTGGTGCAGACAGGCCAGGTGCCCACCTGTGGCCTCTGCATGAGGACAGCTGGGGACACCGAGGACGCTGCTGCTGCTCCATCCCCCGGGGACAGCCCGCTCCTCCTCCCTCCAGCAGGAGCTCCAGCCTGCCTGGAACGTGCTGGGCGAGGGCGGCTGCACTGGGGGATGAGGGCAGGAAGGAGTCTGCAGAGACACATGCCAGACGGACTGATCAGCGTGTGCAGAGACTCGGCGGAGCCGGGGGCAACGTGCTGTGATCGTGGGAGCATATGCTTAGGTGTCAGGAGCCGGGCAGTGGCTCCTGGAAGGGTCGTGGGGAGTGACTGAGTTGGGGTAGGGGAGTGTGCAGAGTGATCAGAGCATCGCGTCCCTTGTGTACAAAAACAGCCACGTAATGAGGGTCCTTCGCTCCACCCACAAGTGACTGCTTTTATTCGTTTCTTGTCTTTCTGTAGGTTCTTTATGCAAAGACAAGGAAATGTAAATACATATCGCCCTTTTCTGTCCATATTACACAAAAAGGTAGCATGCTGTCCACACTCCCCCACACTGGGATTTTTCACTCACAATGCATTTTGAGGACATTTCCATGGCAGGGCAGGGCTGCCTCATTCATTTTTATAAAAATCGCCTCACAATTTTCCACTGTTTGGATGTCCACAGATAATTTTTAAAAACCAGTGAGGAAGCAGCCCAAGCGTCCATCAGTGATGAATGGGTGGAGAAAATGTTACCTCTCCACACAATGGGACGGGAGTCAGCCTTAGAGAGGAAGGAGATCCTGAGTCTGCGGCAACATGGATGAACCTTGAGGACATCATGCTAAGTGAAATAAGCCTGATACAGAAGGACAAACACTGAGTGACTCCACTTGTGGGGGTACCTAGAGTCATCACATTCGCAGAGGCAGACAGTGGAATGGCGAGTGCCAGGGGCTGGGCTGCGGGACACGAGAACAGAGTCTCACTTTGGGAAGATGAGAAGATTTCTGGAGAGGGATGGAGGTGACGGTTCCACCACGATATGAAGGTACTTAATGCCACTGAACTGTACACTTAAAAAGGGTTAAAATGGGCCGGGCGCAGTGGCTCACGCCTGTAATCCCAGCACTTTGGGAGGTTGAGGCAGGCAGATCACGAGGTCAGGAGATCGAGACTATCCTGGCTAACATGGTGAAACCCCATCTCTACTAAAAATACAAAAAATTAGCTGGGCGTGGTGGTGGGCGCCTGTAATCCCAGCTACTTGGAAGGCTGAGGCAGGAGAATCCCTTGAACCTGGGAGGTGGAGATTGCAGTGAGCTGAGATCACGCCACTGCACTCCAGCCTGGGAGACGGGGTTAAAATGATACATTTTATGCTATGTGTATTTTATTACACTTTTTTTTTTTTTTTTTGAGACAGAGTCTCGCTTTGTCACCCAGGCTGGACTGCAGTGGCGCGATCTCAGCTCACTGCAATCTCCACCTCCCAGGTTCAAGGGATTCTCCTGCCTCAGCCTCCCAAGTAGCTGGGATTACAGGTGCCCACCACCACGCCCAGCTAATTTTTGTATTTTTAGTAGAGACAGGGTTTCACCATGTTGGCCAGGATGGTCTTGATCTCCTGACCTTGTATCACACTTTTTAAAAACGGCAGTGATGATGGGACAATTGTTTATTGTTACGATATCTCTCAAAAGTCTTGAAATCACTGTTAAGTCTTAAATCTCCCATCTGTGTTTTGTGCACATGGCCTGAATGATGCACGTGACAAAGGGGCTGGGAGTCTCGGCGGCTGCGTAGATGGGCTCTCAGCACGAGGGGCTCAGCACGGACGGGGAACGCTCTGCCCGTGCCCTGTAGAGACAGCTGTCCGTTTCTCCCTGTGTCTGCCTCATCGGGACGTGGGGCTTGGTGTGCGTGAACTGGACATATGCACGGTGTGGCTCCCGTGGGGTACTGCTTCCTCCCCATAAAATGAATGAGACTGAATTAAATGCCCGGTGCTGGCAGGCGTGCAGGGGCAGCTCCTTACACACCACTGAGGGGAGGGGCGGTATGTGTTGTCATGGTCTCTTTAATTGTACCAGGATTTGGCTCAATGTGCCAAGAGCCTTGTGTTCTATAGCGTCCTTTCATCCTAATCAAAGCCTTGGAAATGTATCCTGAGAAAATAAAGGGGACGAGCTGTGGAAAGAAAGGCCCTTGCTTCAGCATTAAATCCCAGCAGCGAACACTCGCAAGCAGCGCCGGTGGCGAACAAAGGGAGCGTGGAGAGGAGGTGATCACAGACCCGCTGGCGGAGTGGCTGTGGCCGCCGCAGTGATGGTTCCGAACACGCAGTCATAACACAGAAAACGGTGTGGCACAAGGAAGGGAAAAGAGCAGGAGAGAAAGGCGTGGATGGTGGAAATGACATTTATATGGGTGAAGACTGCCGTGGGGCCCTGAGAAATGAGTCGCTGCAGTGCCTTCCCCGCACCCCATTGTTTTACAGTCATTCATCCAAGTTGAAGTTCACTCATCAGAAGGCGGCTCTGGGAACACCTGAACTGATTCCAGGCCCGGAATGGTGAGGTTGGGGGCACCTGCCCCTGCTGTGGCAAAGGCACTGACAGGACACTGAGAGGAAATGCCTGGCTCTGGCACACAGCCCCAAGTGGCCGAGGCATGAGGTTCTGCCTCGGTTTCCCTCTCCATGGCTCCTGTCACGCTGCCCGGCCCCCAGCCCCTCAGGCATGTCTCCCTGTGTGTGTCTCCAGGCCCTGCACCTGGAGGTCCTGGGGCTCCTGCAGCAGTTCAAGAGACAGCAGGCGAGGATTGTGTGGGGTCAGGTCTGCCGAGAGACAGGCAGCCATGGGACAGGACCCCACGTGTCACCCTGCAGGGGGGCACTCTGATGCCCGGCAATGCCCAGTTGGGCATCCTTCTGTCTGGAGGCCTTGCTGGCAGGCTCAGGGCCCACCCTGCTCTAGGCCGCTGGCACTGGCAAAGTTTCTGGGACAGCATGGCCCCAGCCCAACCCCTCTCTGGGAGACGGGAAATGTGTGCAGGGACAGGGGCACAATGTGGTGCGTTGATAAGGAAGGCCAGCCCTGGCGGTGGATGTGCATTCCCCTGCTATTCCAGCGGGTGCTAGAAGAGGGTAACAGTCACCTGCCCCCAGCCAGGTGAAAACATGCCCAAGGGCCCTGCTGTTCCTCCTCCGTGTGGGGCTGGCAGAAGGTGGGCCGGCTGTGCCAATGAAAAACCACAAGCTCTGCTGTGCTTCGGGAGCTGACGTGCTCAGAGCTTTCCGGTGTAAAAGCCACCCAGGACTCCTGACGTATGTTTCGTATTATGATTGTAAGGGTGGCAATTCTATGTTTTAAAAAAGCCACTGTTGGGGCCACACAGTGAGTTAAAGCACAGTTAGAAATGGCATCTGTAGTGCCAAGGTGGCCAGTTTACACACCCTGTTCCTGCTGGGGTCCCCTCATCCCTCAGCGTGGGTGGCTGGCAGTACAAATCTGCAAAATGGAAATCCGTCGAACTTGCAGAAGAAAAGCAGGTGGCTGGTCAGAGCGTGTCTTGGGGGTTGGAGAGATGTTCTGCCTGGGCCAGGTGTGGCAGAAGGGACAGAGGTAAAGCAGGCTCCCGAAGGCCCTTGTGAGGACCACACGCGTGTCTCAGGAGGACACCTGTGAGCTCTGAGAAGCGGGAGCAGCCCGGTGCGTGAAGCACCTCACACAGTGCCTGCTACTGTGGAGAAAGGGCCCCCGAGGCCAGCACTCCCCACGGGGAGCTCGCCACCTGCCAGCGCCGGACCACAACACAGGCAGCAACTGCTTCTAGCCAAGGCTCTGTGCCAAAAAGACTTGCCAACTGCACTGCCACGGTTCCCCACGGCTTCCGTGCCGGCTGCAGCGGGGGCAACCCTCTACCTGCCCATCCAGCCCTGCAGGGGAAACCATGTCCTAACAGCTGCTGGAAATGACCCCCCTGCTTTAGCCTCAAAGGCTGTGGCGATCAGATCAGAGCCCTTTCTGCCCTTTGCTTTAATATGGTGCAGAACTGTACACATTTACACATTCTCAAGAGTTTGAGACCAGCCTGGGCAACACAGGGAGACCCTCATCTCTAGAAAATTTTTTAAAAATTAGGTTGACGTAATGTTGCACACCTGTAGTCTGAGCTACTTGGGAGGCTGAGATGGGAGGATTGCTTGAGCCCAGGAATTCGAGGCTGCAGTGAGCCGTGATGCCACCACTGCACTCCAGCCTGGGTGACAGAGCGAGACCCTGTCTCTACCAAAAAAAAAAAAAAGAAAGTTAAAAAAAATACTTAAATTTACCATGTAAAGTTCAGTGGCAGTAAGTACATTCACACTGTTGCCCAAGCATCACCACCATCCATCCACAGAAGTTTTTGATCATCCCAATTGAAACCCTGTACCCATTAAACACAAACTCCCCAATCTCTCCTCCTCTCCTCCCCCAGCCCCTGGTGACCACAGTTGTACATCCTATGTATTTTTTACTATTCTGTGTACCTTACATAAGTGGAATCATAAACTATTTGTCCTTCAGTGACTGGCGTATTTCATTCATCTTTGTCGAGATGCACCTCTGTTGTAGCAAGTGTCAGAGTTTCCTTCCTCTTTCAGGCTGAATACTGTTCCGTTGCATGCATATCCCACATTTGGTTCATCTGCGCATCTGTCAGTGGGCAGTGGGCTGTTTCCCCCTTTACCATACGGTTTTCCACAGCAGCTGCACCGTTTCATTTATTTATTTATTTTTATTTTTTGTTTCGAGACAGGGTCGCACTCTGTCACCCAGGCTGGAGTGCAGCGGCGCAATCTCGGCTCACTGCAACCTCCGCCTCCCAGTTTCAAGCGATTCTCCTGCCTCAGCCTCTCGAGAAGCTGGGATTACAGGCATGTGCCACCGCTGCGCCCGGCTCATTTTTGTTTAGTAGAGACAGGGTTTCACCATGTTGGCCAGGCTGGTCTTAAACTCCTGACCTTAGGTGATCTGCCCGCCTCGGCCTCCCAAAGTGCAGGAATTGCATGTGTGAGCCACTGTGCCCAGCCTGCTGCACCATTTAAAATCACCACCAGCAATGTAAAGGGTTCCAGTTTCCTCACATCCTTGGCAACGCTTGTTGTTTTCTGCTGTTTTGATAATGGCCATCCTAATGGGTGGGAAGTGGGATCTCACTGTGGTTTGGATTTGCATTTCCCTAAGTATCAGTGATCTTGAGCATCTTTTCATTTGCCATTTGTATATATTCTTTAGAAAAATGCCTATTCAAGACTTTTCCCCACTTTTTTCAAGCAAAGAAAATTTAATTCATAGAATTGGTTCCGTGACAGGATGTCATTACCCCACCTCTGAGATTTAAGGAACGAAAGAGAAACCGAGGCGTTTCAAGACCCAGAAGATCAGAGGAGAAGCGCCGCAGATCTGGAGCTCATGCTTCGAGCATGGCTACTGCTGGGACCTCTGCAGAGGCGTGAGGCAGCTAGCCCCGAGACTCCTCTTTCAACCATTTTTGAATTGAGTTGTTTGGGATTTGTTTGCTTTTGAGTTTTAGGAGTTTGTTAGATATTATGGATATCAATCCCTCATTAGCTACGTGATTTGTAAATATCTTCTCTCCCATTTGGTAGGTTATCTTTTTACTTTGTTGACCCTGTCCTTTGAGGCACAAATGTTTTCCATTTTGATGAAGTCCAATTTGTCTGTTTTTGTCTTTTGTTGCCTGTGTCTTTGGTGTCATATCCAAAAAGTCACTGCCCAATTCTATATCATGAAGCTTTCCCCCAGTGTTTTTTTGAGATGGAGTCTGGCTCTGTCGCCCAGGGTGGAGTGCAGTGGCACAATCTCGACTCACTGCAACCTCTGTTTCCCAGGTTCAAGTGATTCTCCTGTCTCAGCCTCACGAATAGCTGGGTCTACAGGTGCATGCCACGACACCCGGCTCATTTTGTTATTTTGTGTTTTTGTATTTTTAATACGGTTTCACCACATTTCCCAGGCTGGTTTCCAACTCCTGAGCTCAAGTGATCCATCTACCTTGGCCTCCCAAAGTGTTGGGATTACAGGCATAAGCCACTGAGT